TCGCCCACACGATCAAGGGGAGATGTCTCACCAGCACCTGCGGGCATGACCCGTCGCCGGAGCCACACTGCAAGCACCGCCCGGGCCCGCCGCGTTGGCTGTCGAGGCCGTCCACTCAAGGTGGAGCCCTCGGATCCCCGCCGCCATCTTCATTGGTGTAGCGTGTGCAAGCCTGAGGACACCTCTGGCGGCAGCGGAGGGTAGGGAAGAGGGGGAGGAGGGTGGCGGCGGCTAGGGTAACCCTCGAGTCGCCTACGCGGGGGGGGGAGACTCGCTTCAGAACTTTGTGCCTGATGAACCTCCAACAATCAGGAATTTGTGGCTCGGACAGCGGGATGCAGCTGCAGGGACGGGAGAGGGAGTTGGTGGCGCAGCTGAACGAGTTGTTGTTCCCGCCCGCATCCCGGTCTCCGAGCGGCGCGTCGTGGTCGTCATCGTGTTCTGGTCTTGCTGGCGACTTGTCTTGGGAGCATGTCATGTCGTAGGTGAAGGCAGTGATGTCATGTGGCTGGGGCAAACGGTGGCGCGGGGTCACAAGGGAGTGTGGGCGGCACGATTTTTTATGAAGTTCCTTGCCGCCAGTGAGAATCCGGCTCCGGCGAGGGGTCATCAGAGTTGAGAGGACATTGGGGGGGGGGGTCCCATTTTCCTGGTCAACGGGGAGCCGGCAGCTGGCGGCATGGGTTCCGGCAGCGGCATGATGGGAGGAAGGAAAGGGAAATATTTAGGGAGCGGTGTCTCGGAGGAGTGAGAGCATCTCTAATCGATCCCCTATAATTGGTTGGAGGAGGACAGGTTCCATTTTCCTCCTGTAACTGGCACTTAACTAAACAATTAGAACCTTTAGTGTAGGATATTTTTAACTCCACGATGGCCGCGACACTCAAGTATACTCGACCGCCTACCCATGGAGTAAAAGTGATTCCCCTCTCCCCTCGGCCGCACCGTCCCAATCCCGCGCCGCATCCACTTTGGTACCGCCATACTTGCCACCGCCAACCCCCATAGCACACATCACACTCCTCATCGTCTGTTAATTGGGTCGCTTCCATTGTTTCCGGCGACAAAATCAACAGATCCATGTCCGTCACCGGATTTGAGGTCACCGTCGTCACCCACGTGGCCACCTCTCAAGCGTCACCCAGGAAGCCACCTCAACTGAGTCGCGCCACCTCTCGGTAAGTCTTCTTCCTCTCGGTCAAGTAGACCGATCACTGGCACTGCCCTGTCCCCCCGTCGGCGCCTAGTGCTACACCTTGTCTCGAGCATGCCAAAACATCCCGAATGGGTTTTCTACAAATGTGAAAAGGACGAAGTAAGTGCCATTTTGTACAGTTGTTCTTCGGATTCGTCGCAATTTGAAACTCCTTGTTTTCTCAAAATTATATGTAGGAAGGATGCAAGTTTTGGTATTGGGAAGAATAGTAAATTCATCTATTGATAGCGAGAAAACTGCCCGATGTTGGTGCACTAGTTGCTAGAGATGAGACTAGAGAGGACGCAATGTCCAAGTTTGAGACTAGAAAGGGCGCAATGTCCAAGTTTGAGACTAGAAAGGACGCAATGTCCAAGTTTGAGGAGGCGATGAAGAAAGAAGCATCCAAGATGAGAAGTCAGTCGAGAAAAGCAACAATGTAGAGAATGAATAGATACCAAAAGCATTGATCGGACTAGTAGGAGCAGTTAGGAAAGTGGCATTTCTATTGAAGTGTGTAATTTTTCTTGTAGCTTTCTTTGGATCGGTTCTCTTAGTGAAGAATTGGTGAAGTATGTGACCAAGATGTCGTTTAATAAAATAATTGAGTACTACAAAAAATCGATGGTTCAAAATTAAATGAATTTGGCAAAATAAATAAATTTAGGGAGCTAAGTATAGGGAATCGGTTAGAAATGACACTTTTATTAAGGAGCAAATATGCTTGATATTCGGCTGTATCCTCAATTATAGGGGATCGTTTACAAAAATAGAATAGTTGGGCGTTGGAGTAAACTTAGAGGAGTAAAAATGTGCTCCTCTAAAGATTTGAGAGGTTGGTTAGGTGCCAATAAAAATGTGTGTAACTCCTTATTTTGTGCCTCTAAAGGTTTTTAGTTTTTAGGGGATCGGTTAAAGATGCTCATACATGGATGGCAATACCTGGAGAAGCGAGACAAATATTGAAATGACAAGTCAAATACAAAAATTGACAATGCGTGGCATAAGAAGAGCATGAAAGAGCAATTATTACAGATGACAGAACAAAGTTTGAGAATGACAAACGAGCTAAGAATGATTGGCATACACACAGTTACCGGCATCGTATAGAAACTCCAAAAGAAGTCATAAAACACGATTAAGAAAGAGACGTAATGAACCTTCAATTCTAGGAGGAGGCGAGAAAGCATGGCACTATTAACGTACCCTGCCCTTTGCTCCACGGCACAGGGCACGAAAGCCTAACGTTTCCGTTGCCTCCCGCCGCGTAGCCGTCGGGCTACCTCATCTCGTGTGGCCTTAGGGCCATGGAGGCGCGGTGGATCTTGGTCCTTGTCGGCAGGAAGGCTTCGTTTTTAGGTATTTCCTTGAGTTTTGGTAGGGTTCATGTATTGCTTATGAAGACGAGATGGCAGCGGCTTCTTGAAGTTGGAATAAGGATCTCCTCACTTAGCCCCTGTCCCGATGATGCTTCTAGCTTGGCGTGTGGAGGTTTGTTTCCGATGAATCTCGCGGACTCAGTTGGTGTTTGTCTTAGGTGGATCCGCTTGGATCCAATCTTCATTGGTTATGTCAGTGTGTTGACATGATGGATTCTTATGATCTACGCTCCACTTCATAGGCGGCGGTTGTTGTTCTGCTATTCTAGTCCTCTGGGGCCTTAGCACGACGACTTCCCGATTGTCTATTACAACAAGGTTTGTCCCGCTCCGGTAATGGAGAGACAATGACGGCGGCGCGCCTTCGGCTCACTCCAGTGATTGTAGTTGTCGCTAGGTAGTCTACTTCTATTGTTTGTTGTATATTTGTTGTACTACTATCTTGACAGTTGATGAATAGATCTGAAGTTTTACTCAAAAAATAAAAGAGACATAACGAGTTATCAACAGGCAGTGAGGAAATATATATACCTTCTTGATTGGAGATATTTTGCAATATTTATGATGAGGGCCTGCGCATCCAAGCAGCAAGCAGGCTGAGAGACAGTACCAGAAGAAGAAGAAGAAGAAGAAGAAGAAGAAGAAGAAGAAGAAGAAGAAGAAGAAGAAGAAGAAGAAGAAGAAGAAGAAGAAGAAGAAGAAGAAGAGGTCGGCAATTGAATCTGGGTGAATATGGTGGTTAGAAGCCTCCTCATGTCCGGGTTGGGAGACACCCGCACAAAAGCCCGGCAGTTGAACTGCCCACCTCTATGGTGGTATAACCTCTTGGCAAGTGTGGTTTTACCGACACCCTCAAATCCTACCAGAGATACGACCTTGAGCTGCTGCTCCTCATCCTTACGAAGCAAGGTGTCAAGTTGATCCATTCGGCAACGATCAATTAGTTCCGGATGGAGAACTGGGAGCCGGCGTCCTGTTGATGGAATCTTAGTGGTCTTATTGACGCTTTTCTGGTCGAATCCGTACCTTCCCCTTCTCCCATACGCATGCTCCGCGCGAGCCTCGATCATCTTGAACTCGAACTGGGCATTTTCTTGCTTCTCTTCTGGAGTGAGCTGGGCATCATCATCGTCGTCGTCTTGCTTGGAAATAAACGGGGCATCGTCGAAGTAGTTTTTGCTGTCGTAGCAAAGTTCCCGGACCTCACTCATCCAGCACTTGGCGGCGAAGCTAGGTTTCTCCACCTCTGACTGATGCATGAGGGAGACGCATAATCCATCGAAATGCACCGTGAGCCTCTGAATCTCATCCTCACTGACCCCCTCATGGAGTTGCCGGAGGAGGGGACCAACAGGGCCCAGCGAAGCAGTAACAGGAAGACCGATCGCCCTCCGAAGATCGTCAGGATCAACCATCTGCGTTGGCCTAAACCAAGAGAGACCGAGCAGAATCTGCCTCCTGAAAGATGGAACCGAGGGATTAGTGTCATTCATGGATGCGAATGAAAGGTAGAGAGATAGAGAGAGCGCATTACCCGGTCGAGCAAGAGATCAATATGCGCGCACGTCTAAGGACAAGTCCTAGATTACCCAGCCGGCCGAGGAATTCACTTTTCAGTATCAGGAGAGGAGACTAGACTAAGACATATAGTGGGTTGGGTTGGTACTTGGTAGTGAAAAGTACCCGCTGAACTGAACTCCAGTGAGTTCACAAGAAGTATATGCATAAAGGCACTACAACTTCATGATATTACTTATAGCAATTGCAGCGTTGCCCCCCTTTGTTCTTACAAATTTACAC